AAAAAAAAAAAAAAAAAAAAGAAAAAGAAAAAGAAAATGTCACTCACAGGCCGGGGATTTAGCTCAGTGGTTCTGGCGCCTGGCACGCAAGCGCAAGGTCCCAAGTTCGATCCCCGGTACCAAAAAAAAGAAAAAAAAAAAAAGAAAATGTCACTCAGACATGTCACATAGGACAAGACAAAAATATCACACATAAACGAGAACCTTCTATGGCTGGATGGCATTCAAAAGTGGCAGTTATTTCCATTTCACCACATTCAGACTTCATAATTTTTCTGAAAATGTGTGTGGCGAAGGATGCTATATGAAGCCCTCAAGAGTACCCCCTCCGCCCCTGCAGGCTCCACCCCCGCAGGCTCTGCTCCCTACAGGGCCCTGGCCTGATGTCCCCCACAGAACCTAATAGCTGCACCTCCGGGGCAGTAATAATGCATCAAAGCCTTTAGGGTATGGCTGTAAATCCTGCTATGCCAATTAGGCTGCACTGAGAACAGTGGTGAGTTTGAATCAACAGCTTTCCCACATTGTTCCCTAATAAAACCTAAGAGTCCGCCTCCAGTTCACCCAGGGCTGAGCTCTTGTTCTGGTTTGGTTTCCACCCAGGGCTCTGCTGTTCGGACCCACAGGTCTGGATTTCGCTGAGTTCATTGCATCTTTGGTGCATTAAAGAGCAGTCCCAGGGTCTGAGAGTTACACAGCATTCCCACATGAATATCTTACACTGAAATGATCAGTTTCACAACTAATTCCTCAAAAACCTTCCCTTAGGGGATGAGAGGTGGGCTGGTTTCATACTGATCATACCATCTCCCTCCATGGTTGTGTGATCCTGGGAAAGGGATTTAAGGCCCCTGAGCCTCCACTTCTTCATCCATAAGCCTCCAGTTACCAGAAGGACCAACAACTGTGTGAGGGCAAGAATCTACAAAGCTGCTTACAGTCCGAGTGCTCATGGGCACTCACGAGGGCTGGTCAGCCAAGGGCCACTGCCAAGAAACACAGAGTGGGTTCAATCACTGGGCAGAGTGAGCCCCTGGCCCACCAACAGCTGAAGTCCAGGGCACGGGCCTCCTGCCAACCAGGCCCACCCATGCCTGCTGTACACGCACCCAGGGGTGCATGCCAGGGATGCTGCAGACATACAAACGCCCCTGCCCCAACACAGGCCTGTTCCACTCACACACCATGTACCCACAAAGATCTGAACCCTAATATTCCACCAAGTTCTTTTTATGCAGACCAAAGTTTGCACTTTGCTTTATCTGGTAAATACAAAGTCACAGGAAAAAAATGTCCCAGGAGTATACACAACCCCAGGGAACAATGTGTCCCTACCTAAGCACCTATTCTGTATTCTCTACATATCTGCACTTCATACAACCTAAAATATTCATCTTGTACAGCCAAAATGACACGGAGGTGTTGCATGACACCAAAACTGAACTTGTGAGTCCCTGGTTACATGGGGAGACAAACAGAGCTGGAGCCTACTCAACACCCAACCCTTGGTGCATAAAATTCCCAGTCAAGACCAGTTAGAAAATGGACTTTTCCCTTCTTCCAGGGCTCCCATGACAAACCGTATCCTGTTTATTTATTGTCTAAACAACTCATCTGAGATGTGCACTCAGCCCACGGAGCTGAACCCTACTCCAGGGCATTTTGGTCTCATAATTAAGGTTGCTGCCCACACCAGTCCATCACAACCAGGATGGGAGAGCAGACAGGTCCCTCCAGAGCCACCGTGGGTGCATTCCCTGTCCCCCATCCCTGCCCAGTCCTTCCCTCTCCTGTGTGTCTCCAATTCCCATGCCCTCTGCTGTCTCCTTGCCCAGCACTACAAGCTGCCCAGGCATCCAGGGGTCAGCAGGGTGGAGGGCCCACCCACCTCTGCCCAGCTTTTGAGGTTGAGCTGCCCCTCCTCTCCTGGTACCATCCCAGCCCCAGAGCAGCAAGCTGGGTTCTCACATCAGTTCCACCACCAGGTAGGGCGGGCTCTGAAACAGCTCCCAAATTACAAGCCCTTGTCCAGGAGCTGGAGCCAAGATCAAACAGGTCCCTGCTTTTCAAAGAGCTGCCCCAGAGACAGCCCCAGAGACTGCTGTTATTATCTACAGGAGACAGAAATGCCAGACTCAGGGAAGAGCATGCGTATTACAGGGTGACTCAGGAACTGGAAGGTAATTTCCAGCGGTTCCACCCGGGAACTAATTGGCACATGGAGCGGGCAGTGACCTTTGATCCTTCCAGACAGTGGTGAGTGTGGCAAGCTGACCAGAAAAGGATCCCAAGCAAACCAGACAACCCAGATAAGCCTGAAGCCAGGCTCTAATTGCACGACTTAGGACTAGGCCTGGGAAGCCCTGCACTTGAACTTGAAGAAGCCCAGGCCTGCTCCCTGCAAAAGTGCTGAGCCAAGCAGTGGCATTGCTCTCCAGAGCCAGCCAGGTGGGTAGCACGCCCCAGCATCCAACAGAAGGCAGCAGATGCCTGGGCTCTGCTCAGATGTGCCCTGGCATGCCTGCCCAGCAGGGACCTTGGTGGGTCCCAGGGGCTCCCCCAGCGGCCCATGGGGAGCCAGTCATCCCTCCCCGGGCCACTCACCAGACACAGACACCTCCATGAGCGCCTCCAGTGGCCGGTTGTTGTCCAGGTCCCGGCTGAGCTGCAGCTCGCCCGTAGCAGAGTCCAGCAGCAGCAGCCGCAGCTCGTTGCCCCGCAGGAAGGTGTAGTTGAGGTTGTCCGAGAGGTCAGGGTCGTGGGCCGGGATTCGACCAATGATGCCACTGGGGAAGCTGTTGGACTTGTTGGTAACATAGTTGTTGAAGAGGATCTGGAAGTCTGGCAGTTCCGGTGGGTTGTCATTCTGGTCCAGGAGGTGGATGCGCACAGTAGCCCGGCTCACCAGTGGAGCCGATGTGGCCTGCACCACCAGCACATAGTCCCTGCGGACCTCAAAGTCCAGCTCGGCCAGCGCACGCAGGTCCCCGCTCAGCAGGTCCAGCTGGAAGACCTCGGGCATGTTGCCCTCCACGATCTGATACATGATCTGGGCATTGGGGCCTTCGTCGGGGTCATTGGCACGAATCTTGGCCACCACTGACCCCACTGGGCTGTTCTCCTCCACAAACAGCTCCAGCTCGTCCCTCTCAAACACCGGGGGGTTGTCATTGATGTCCAAGACAGTCACCTGGATTTCCACTGAGGCACTGAGGGCAGCCGGGCTGCCCCGATCCACAGCCAGCGCCCGAAGGCTGTACACAGCCACATTCTCCCTGTCCAGCCGGCGCTGGGTGCGGATCACGCCAGAAGTGGGCTCAATGTAGAAGTCCCCATCACCATCATCCCCGCCCTGGAAAGTGTACAGCAGGCGACCATTGGGGCCTGAGTCCCTGTCTGTGGCAGAAACCTGGAGGACACTGGTAGACGGAGGAGCGTCCTCAAAGACAGAGCCCTGGTAGAAATCCCGCAAGAACCTGGGCACATTGTCATTGGCATCCAGGATGAGGATCTCCAGGGACGTGGTGTCCGATTTCTGAGGGATGCCATTGTCCTGGGCTGTGATAGCCAGCGTGTAGGCAGCCTGATCCTCATAGTCCAGCTCTGTCATGGTGTAGATGGTACCGGTGTTGGGGTCAATTCGGAACTGTGGCACAGGGTCCTCTAGCACGTAGGTTATCCGGGCATTCTCACCTGTGTCCTCATCGGTGGCACTGATGGTGGCAATGGAGGTGCCCACAGGCCGGTCCTCACTGACACTGACGGTGTAGTGAGAGCTCTGGAAGACCGGCCGGTGGGTGTTGGCATCGGTGACGTTGATGAAGACCTGCACAGTGTGTGAACGCGTGCCATCCGATGCAGTCACAGCAAGCACATACTGCCGCTCCTGCTTATAGTCCAGAGGCAGCGCCAGGGTGATCAGGCCACCGCCACTCTGGCTGCTGAGTGCAAAGCGGTTCCGGGTGTTGCCGCCCGTGAGCTGGTAAGTGATCACGCTGTTGGCATCACGGTCACGGGCCCGCAGAGTCAGCACGCTGCTCCCCACGGCTGCGTCCTCGTTGAGACGAAGCTCATACAGGGGCTGGGTAAACACTGGGTCATTGTCGTTCACATCCAGCACTGTGATGGACACACTGGCCGAAGAGCTCATGGGTGGTGAGCCATGGTCCACCGCCTCCACCCCAAAGCTGTAATGTTCCACCTCCTCTCGGTCCAGCTCCGCACACACAGTGATCCAGCCCGAGCTGTTGTGGATCTGGAAGGGGAAGTCCAGGGTGGAGTCAGGATCCTCGGGCCCAGCACTGTCGCCCCCCAAGGCAGCTGAGCTTGTGTCCACCAGGCGATAGCGCAGACGGGAGTTCTCTCCTGCATCCGCATCCACTGCCTGGATATGCAACACCGAGTGGCCCAGTGGCACGTTCTCCAGCACTGTGGCCTGGAAGGGGCTGCTCACGAAGATGGGAGCGTTGTCATTCACATCCAGCACCTGCACAGAGACCAGCCCTGAGGAGTTAATGAGCGGTGGCCGGCCACCATCCTGGGCCTTGATGCGCAGTGTGTACTCCCGGATGGCCTCAAAGTCCAGCGGGTTGATCACATCCAGGCTCCCGCTCAGCGAGTGCAGGTAGAACTGCCCCTTCAGGTTCCCGCTGACGATGCTGTAGTGTATGGCCGCGTTCTGACCCTGGTCTCGATCAGTGGCTTGCACCCGAAGCACCGGGGTGCTGACGGCCACGTCTTCGGGCACCTGGACCACATAGCGTTTCTCGCTGAACTGAGGGTAGTTGTCATTCTCGTCCTCCACCACGATGTGCACAGTGGCTGTGGCGCTGAGCGGGCCTGGATTGCGGCCCTGGTCATTGGCCTCCACCAGCAGCTGGTACTCGGCCGCCTCCTCCCGGTCCACCACCGCCCTAGTGCGCACCACGCCCGAGCGAGCATCAATCTCGAAGACACCGCCCGCGCCCTCCAGCAGGCGGTAGCGCATGTTGGCGTTGGAGGGCGCGTCGCCGTCAGTGGCGCGGATGGTCAGCACCTCGTAGCCCACCTCGAGGTTCTCACGCACGCGTTCACGGTACTCAGACTGCTCGAAGACTGGGCTGTGGTCGTTGGTGTCGCTGACAGTGACGGTGAGGTAGGTGGCGGCCGAACGCCGTGGCGTGCCGTGGTCCAGAGCGCTGACTTTGAGCACGTGCGTGTCCTTGGTCTCCCGGTCCAGTTCGCGGGCAGTGCTCACAGCGCCTGTGGTTGCGTCTATCAGGAAGTAGCCATTGGAGCGCTCGTCGAACAGCGCCTCCATCTGGTAGCTCAGGCGCCCCGGCTCGCCCTCGTCGGGATCGTGCGCGCGCAGCTCAATGACCGCGGTGCCTGCGGGCTCGTTCTCGGGCACTGACACCTGGTAGCTGGGCAGCGGGAACTGGGGACTGGTGCTCCCACCCGCGCCCCGCCTGGCCCGCCGCGACGCCCCCGATCGGGCCCGGGACAAAATGGGCGACGGTGGCAGGGTCTCCGAGGGCGGGTCCGGCTCCAACTCCCCTGAGACCAGGCCAGGCGCGCACCGAAGGGCGCACCAGAGGCGCAGGCGGATAGGGCCTCTGGGCGACGGACAGAGGGGGAGGCGGCGAGGGCAGCGGCGGGCGGGGACCAAGGCGAGGGCCGTGAGCGCCGTGTGCACTGAGGCAGCGGCGCCTCCAGGAGATGGGGAGCGGAGCGCGCTGCCGATCCCAGGCACCGATCGCCGTCGCAGCCGGGCGCCCGACCGAGGATGCAAGCTCACTACCGTCCGGGCACCACGGGCCGCCAGGAGGACTCGCATCGGCGGTGGAGGCGGTAGCGGGCGCCCCCCGAGGGGTGCGCAGCCCCACTGTCCAGTGCCCCGCCCGCGCCGCCGGCCCGCCCGCCGCCCGCCGTGGCTCACGTCCAGCAGCTCCCGCGGTGCCTGGGGCGAGCGCGCAGCGTCCCACGCGTGGGTCCAGCCGGGCCCCAGGGTGAAGGTGCCGGCCCCGCCGGGCTCCCGCAGCTCCCGGGCGGTCGCGCACGGCCCCAGTGCGGGCAGGGCGGCGGCCACGGCCAGGAGCACCAGCGCGGGCAGCATGGGCGGCGGCGACAGCGCCATGCCCCGCAGCCCGAGCCGGGCGCCCGCGCACAATCCATGCACCCGGCGCGCCCCCGCATCCACCCGGCGCGGTGGCCGGGGGGTGGCTCCCGCTCGCCCGGCGCCGGGCCCTCTAGGCGGCCCGCGTCCAACTTCCCCGGGGGCCCTGGCAGGGCCACCGGGGCCTGCGAGCCCGGCCTCGCCCGCAGCTTCCACTTCGAGTGCACTTTGCGAAAGTTGGCGAAGTTGGTTTCAAGATGGCTCCTCTGCGCGTCCCGGGAGGTCGATGCGCATCCACCTGCGGCGCGGCGTTTCTAGGTGGCTCTGGCGCTGGCGCGGGGCGTGGGCAGCGCGCGGGCTACGATCCCCGAGCGGCTGACCCGTCCGCCCGCAGCGCCGCCGAGCACTCCCGCACGGCCCGTTGTGCCCGGGCTGTGCGCTGGTTCCGAGCCCCTGCGCGTTCTCCCCGCCCCCGGCCCCGCCCCACCCGGCCCTGCCGCTTATTGTTCAGCCCGGGGGAGCCGTCCCGGAGGTGCGCGCTGGGAGAGTCGCCATGGAGACGCGGGGGCGCGGCCGGCCGGGGGCGGGGGCGGGGGCCCAGGCCCACCCCCGCGGCCTCCCCACTGGGCTCCGGGGGGGCGGGGCCAAGTGACCTGGGCCGGGTGACCCGGGAGTGCTGGCTCAGCCTGTTGGGGACGCCACCTGGCCCTGGCTGATCCGCGGAGACCCCCAGCTGGAGCCCCGGAACGGGGTGGGGGGCGGGGGACAGAGACTGAGTTGACCAGAGCCCCGTTAAGAGCCTGGGGAGGCTAGGGGGACACTTCCACATTCACATCGAGGTGCACAGAGGTGAAAAGAGTTCCCAGGACTTTGAAATCCAGTGGGCAACTAAGTAGAGTTGTGGGAAGGTTTTAAATGAGAAGAAAAATAACCTGGGTTGACATTTGGGATTTGGAGAGCACCACAGAGATGAGCTGTAACCCCGCACACCTGGCTCGGCTTTCGCCTTGCCTTCACCGGGCGCAGCGTCCGGTCTCCAGGCCGGACTACTGCACAAGCGAGACCCCCGAGAGTGCAGGCCCTGGAGGTGACCATGGGCCGATGACACCTGGAAGGGTGGGCAGAACCATAAGAGAACAGGTTCGGGGTGTTAGGACGTGAGAGCTGTGAGACTCACCCTCACCTCCTGCGGGGAAGGGGAGCCTTAGAGCTGAGAGACAACCCCCCAGACGCCTGGAGAAGCTGTAGCACTTTGCAGTACCCCAAGGGGCAGGCTTTTCGACCTTCCCGCTCCTGTTGGAACCTTGCCACCCCCAGTGGAGTGGGAAGCCACTGCAGCCGCTTACGCCTCCAGCTGCATGGTTTGGGGGGGATGATCTTCTAGCCTGGGTGAAAGGGGGTGGAGGGAGGGCCAGTCACCCCCACAACGAGGCTTTCCACCCAGCGACCAGACCAGCGAGGGTCTCTTTCTGCGGCCCCAGTTCGAGGCTGTGTGCAGAAGGTGTGGCCACACCGGCTGTGGGCAGCTTTAGGAACAGAGGGCTTCTGGCCCTTCATGTGAGATGTGTAGAGGTCACACACGGCTAGTTTTGCTCAAAGCTGCTGAAAACAATGTCTTTCCTTCCCACTGGCAACAGTTTGAAGGTGCCATATCGACCTACAAAGCAGAGTTGCTTTGGGTCCTTGTGATTCTGGGAGTTTCCACTGGCAATTCCTTTTGGGAAATGTGTGGAGGGAAGGGAGAAAAGCCCACCCCCAAATGTAACCTGCCCAGGACCCCAACACTGCGTATGGATTTGGCCTTGGACTTCACAGAGAGGACCTCAGGGTAGGAGTTCAGGGTCAAGGCAGGGTGGACACCTGAGCCCAGAGCGCCAGGTGGAAGGTTGGGATGTGGCTGAGAGGGGGAATCCTGGAGGGAGGGAGGGGAGCTGCAGAACCCCTGGAGTGCATATTTTGCAACAGGGCTTTCAATAGGGTGGGTTGGGTTTAAATAAACAAAATCCAAATGCTGGAACCTGACACCTGTGGGCCGCACAGTAACCACAGGGACTGCCCTTCGCCATTTCCTGGTCCTGGGGCCAGGCCAGGAACTCGCAGGTGGATGTCACTGATGGAAGTCTGTGAAGGGACAAGGGACAAGGCAATCCTGTGCACAGCCAGGGCACAAGCAACCCCTTCCTTGTGGGTTTCAGGGAAAAGATGCAGATAGCACAGAAGCTATCACAACCAAATTTAGTGAGGGCTGGGCCTGGGGATGTCTGCTTCTGCACTCGAAGGTCACCACGGTGTTGGCTTCATAACACTGAGCCGACACCCCTCTCCGTGCTCTTTCCTGAGCACACATGCTGAGGCCACTGTGTTCAAGGGGGGATTGAGAGGAATTAAAAGATAGGCTGCCTGGGGGCCGGGGAAGTAGCTCAGTGGTTCCGGTGCCTGCCTGGCAAGCGCAAGGTCCCGAGTTCGATCCCCGGTACCAAAAAAAGAGACAGGCTGCAACTTGTGGTGGGGCTGCTGGGTGGTCCAGTCACATCCACGGAACAGAAACGTGGCTCAGTGGGAGAGCACTTGCCTAGCATGCACAAGGCCCTGGGTTCAATCCCCAGCACTGAAAAACAAAATTACCGATCAGAATGGCTGGTGCTATGGAGACCCAAGTTCCATTTCTTCCACTAATTGCTCAACCTCTTCCAAGCTCTAACTCCTCATTCGGACATAATGATAGACTTCTGGCCTTGGTGAAGGATTAACAAGAAACCGAACACGGTGGTTGGCGCAGGCCTGGCTCAAGGGCAGACACACCAGGCTGGCCTTGACCCTTAGCTCTGCCGCTGCCCACGTACCCAGCGCAGTGGCACTTGTCATCACCTGCCGTGTGCAGGTTTTATTTTTTTATTTTTTTTGGTGCTGGGGATCGAACTCGGGCCCATTGGGCTTGCGCAGCAGGGGGCAAAACCACTGAGCTAAATCCTCAGGCCCATGTGCAGGTTTTAAATGGCACCGTCATGTGTCCCTGGTCAAGGAGAGGCAGGGAGTGTAGCTTTCATCTGGTTCCCCGGGGGGCCTGTGCTAAGTGCTGATCTGGTCCACACAGAGTGCTTACAAGACTGGAGCTGAGGGAGCAGAAACACAGCTGCAGCTCCCTGAAGAGAGATGGCATGTGGGGTGGCCTCATCCAGCACTGCCTGAGGGCCACTGTCCAGCCCCATCCCCGGTGGGATGCTCCCTTCCCCAGAGGCCACCATCTCTGTGCACCAGAGCCCAGCCCTGCAGTGACTGCCAGGGTGGGGAGGGGACATGGAACAGCCCGGGCCATTCTTGTCCTCCTCAGCCACTGGCCTAATGAGCCCTGCCCTGTAAGGATGTTTGGTGCCACTCCCAGGGGCGAAGGGGGCTGTAACTGATGTTTCTATTTTTTAGGTACCCCTAGGCATTTCACGTGAACTTGAGTATCTTTAAAAATAGAAGCAACAAGCAACTTTTGAAAAAAGAAAAAGAAAAAAGGCAGAAGCTATAGATTCCTAATATTGACTCTGTGCTCAAAATGTGTTTTGCCAGGGGCCCTAACCAGAGCCCACATGAATTCTGGAATCTGCTCTTAGACAGTACATTCCTGGGCTGGTTTCACACCTTGAGGAGCCCCAAGAAACCACCCCAGCAGAGCGAGTCCGGGCCACTCCACTCCCTTCAGTTCCTTCTTTGGAATTTAGGGGAACAGGGCTCAGCCCCCAGCTCCTCCCGAGTGTCCCCACATCTGGTCTGGTGGGATACGACTCATGGAAAATCGAAACCTGGATCAAAGACGGAGCCTTGAATTAATTAGGGTGTTAATAGGGGCAGGGGATGGAGAGAATTTAGATCCTAATTAAACACGTTCCGGCACCGGTGCTCGCTTCCCTGAAAGACTGGGAAAACACTCATGACAAAAAAGGAAAAATATTTTCCTGCTCAAAAGGTGCCAGAACCTGTCCAAATGCAAACGCTGTGATTTCTGCCTCTGCGCCAGGTGTGGCTGCCCAGGGCCCCTGGGCAAGGCCCTCCCTGGGAGGCCCCCTGAGATGGCAGCCCCAGGCACAATGTCGTGCCCAGAGCTGTCCTGTGTCGCTCTGGGCAGCCAGGGTGGGGAGGGAAGACAACGTGTGGTGTGACCCTGTGCAGCCGTGCAGCAGCCAGCACCGAGCGCCCAGCACCGGGCAGCTGTCTGGGCAGGTCCACCCGGCCAAGCTGGGGCAGCACTGGCCCCTAGTGGCCAAGCACGATCTCTACCCCATCTAAGCGTCCCTTAGCACACTGCCCACGGCTCCCCTGAGCCTGCGCTGTCTGCTGGGGGAGGTGCCCAGATCCACCACTGACCCTGAGGCACCTGGCAGCTTGCCTGGATGGCGTGGGGCATCCTGATCACGGTCACCTGCCCCTGGGGGAGAATGGGGGCCAGATCTGGGCACCCACATGGGGAGGGCCTGGCTGTGCGTTTGCGACAGTGTGGGTGGGCAAGAGGCGCATGCCTGACGCCCTGTCCTGAAGCCCGTTAGGGAAAGCGCTGAGGTCTTGCTGGATTCTCTTGCTCCTTTAACACCCTCCCTCCTTCCCTGCCATTTTTCCAAAAAATACACTCAACATACCACAGAGTTTACCCTTCTTAAAGTATATGGCTTCATCTTTTTTAGTATCGTCACAAAGTTTTACAACCATGACCAACTAATTCCAGAGCATCTTCACTACCCAAAAAGAAACTCAAGGCCGTTCCCACTGCCCTCACCCCAATCCCCCAGCACCCAGAAACCACTGATCCACATTCTGTCCCTTCGATGTGCCTGTCCCCGAAATTTCATGTCCACTTATCAGCTTCAGCGTTCATCTGGATTGGAACTGAGTTCCTATTTCTTCCCTCTTCAGGGCTGAGTAATGTTCTATGGTGTGGAAGCACTACAGCTCATTACAGCCACCAGTGGGTAGATTTCACTCTTTAAACTATCAGAATCACCTTCCTTTGTTTTGAGTGGGAAAAAGACGGCGAGACA